CCCCAAAACCCCAAAACCCCAAAACCCCGCTGCAGAATAGTAAATAGAAATATATTAATGAGCAGCTCTTTTTCATCAAGTACTCTAACCTCTAACTCATCCTAGACGACTCCTCTCCGGTCTCTAACCACGAAGACTCTGACTGTATTATATCTTCCTCCTCATCCAGCGCAAACTCTTCACATATCCCCCTTTCTAACGACTGTGCTTCAGTATTTGTTCTGCTTAATTTCCAGATTCCTCCTAAAATAAAGGCTTCAAGAGGTACAAAAAGGAATCAGTGGTTCCCTGGAGTAAGCATTCTTATAACTCTCTTATGTGTTTAGGAAGATGAGACTATTACCAAATTGGTTAACAAGTTAGGTACATCTAATTGGAAGACAATTTCAGATGAATTCAACATGATCACTAAGAATAAGAAAAGGAGTTCTAAACAGTGAAGAGAAAGGTGGCATAACCACCTTGATCCTAAGATTAACAAGGAGCCAATCACTCTTGATGAAGAAAGGAAAATCTTCGAATACCATCTGGAAATTGGCAACAAATGGGCAAAAATAGCAAATATCCTTGGAGGAAGGTAAGACTCAACATGAGCAATATAATCAAATTTTAAATGATCTATCTTAAAAGGTTAGCTTACACCATCCCTCACAATCAGTGCATAGTGTTTACACTCACTCAACAGGACCACCTAAAAACCTGCCCAATCTTCAATCTCCAACCCCCATTTACCCATTCGCTCGTCCTAACAACCCTTCTAGAACTGACAACATGGTTAAAAACCATTTCTACGGTACTCTCAGGCGCCACCTTCGCAAGCTCAACAAAATCCTAACTTCAAAATAAATTCAAATCCCTTTGTGTCTCTAACCCCAGGCCTCTCATCCAAGATGACCTATACAAGTACATCAAGTGTGGAATAATAGATTATGATGACTTAAGATGTGTTTGATCAAGAGCTGTTTGTAGTGAGCAGAGTGTGTTAGTTGAAAAGTTTAGAAATGAGGCTATAGCTCAGGTTAGGGCTGAGGAACAGAGAGTGAAGAGCCTGTCTTTAAGGAATAGGAGGTCTTCTAGGATTTTGAAGAGAGATAAGAGACATGAAGAGAGTGATAATGATTTAGCAAAAATTGGCTTCCTTGTTTTGGTTAAGATTTTAAGGGATTTTAGAAAGCGAAACAAGGATAACCTCTTCAGTCTAATTTGACTAAAAACTAATACCTCAATATTTCCAAGTAGAGTCTCAAAGTTTATGAGACTCATCTACATCTTCTGTTGAAAATAACAGAGAATGTACGGATAGAAGCATAACAAAGAGCAATGAGGAATTTAAACAGAAACAACAGAACATTCATTGAGGTGATAAGTGAAATAGTACGAAGAAACATAATTGTACGAAAGCTGAACGAAGCATCCACATTGCTAAGAAAATTTCGGAAAATTCTTTGGGAAAAAGTATTAGTGAAGAGGAGGAATCAGATCTCCCAGAAACAGATACTTTTGGGCAAAACCTTGTTAATGACAGTACTAATAGGCTCAAAGCTGGCATCCTTCAGCATAAGTTTGGAGGAGTTGAGAATCTTGCTAATGACAATTTTGCAGATCTTAATGATAGACAGAATCGAATTGGTTCGGAGGAGACTCTTCCAATTATATCCCAAATGCAAAGTAATGAATGCTTAGAAATATCTCAGACTATAAATTGCAGAGAGACGAATGACAATCACAATAAAGATTTCAAAGTAGTAGGCATGGATAGGAATGCCTCGAGAGTTTTAGATACTTTTGGACCTATTAGTGAAAATGGAGAAGAACTAGATTCTTTTGAATTGGAGATTATGAATCCATCGAAACTAAATGACATAAATTTTTATCATCCAAAAATGAATACAAAATCTTCATATGTAGATCACACAGCCAGCCAAATCAACGAAAGTACTTGGCCTTGTAACAAGCAAATGAGTCTTCCTCCTAAATTTTTCAACAGTAGCATGATGCCAAAAATGGAATCTGGAGATACTAATATTTATGACTTGAACAAACTCAGCGGATTTTTGAATATTTCATTTGCAAGAAACCAACGAATTGAACTAGAAATGGTTGATGACACTCATGTACAGATCAAAACTATCCTCAAAGATTCATCATTTGTCCTTGCTGATGAGGGTGAGGCTTCTGAACTCATGAATCCTTCCAAACTAAAGTGCGAAGAATTATTTCCATCATCCCCTTGTTCAGATCCTTGGTTGCAAAACCAAATGATAGATGCCGATAGTCTCACCCAATATTTTGATAGACCTGATATGACTGATCATGGTTATCCTTCTAACTATTTAGAAATCCCCAGTCATGCCAAACCTTCTGCGCATCCAGAGGAGTTTAGCAATTTTTAGGAAATCCCCCACACCATTTACTCCTAAGGTGTGCAAAATTAAACCATAGGGTGAGAGCATAAAGAGCAAAATTAAGAGAGTGGAGAGCTGGTTGCTCTTCACTCTCAATTAATTACCTACACATCTTTCTTGTTCTCAAATATCTCATGGCATGCCAATTTCAACTATCTTAAGGCGTGAAGGTATTCCTGGGGTTTTGGGGTTTTGGGGTTTTGGGGTTTTGGGG